GCGCACCACCCGAAGGATGGACATATTTGAAACACGGACTTGGGGGGGGGACCAAGGGCAACATACGTAACCTAAACATCTGTACCCCCATAATATGCTGAAATAAAAGAAAAAGAAAAAAAATCATTTTAATTTTGTTCTTAATTTCTTTTTTGCACTTGTTTATACATTTATATACTATCAATTTCAGTATATTTGGTATAAAATCCTACGTGGTGTTTTTTTTTTGACAAATGCATAACATCATGTAAATTTCACCACAGTCAAGGCACAGAACAGCTCCATAGCCCCAAAACATTTCCTCTTATTTCTCCTTTGTAGTCGATCATTTTCTTCACCCCATCGTCCTGTCAAATACCCATCTGTTTTCTCTGTAAATTTATCTTTTCTAAACTATCATATAAATGGAATCATAAAGTATATAGCTATTAACTTCCTTTTTATTTGAAAATTGTCCCTCCTTTTTATGCTGTATTTCCCATATGACATTACCTGTATTCTTTACATCTTTAATCTTTTTTCTCCCTTTTGCCCATTTTGATCTAATTTTTATTTTTGAAATGGTGTTGTTTGTTTGTTTTCTGTTGTTTTGGGCATTATTGTGTGTTTTTGACTAATTCCTGCATTTTTATAATTCTGGTTTATGTTGCTCTTTCATATAGCAATTCATTGTCAATGACTTTAGCTAGTTTTAAAACATTAGCATATAGTTTTTCTCTGCTTTGTGGGCTGTCATTTTCTACAGAGAGGTTCTTTTGCTTATTATTATGTTTACTATTATAATAATTCTGAATGATATTTAACCTCAGTTATTTTCTGATGCTCGTTTTCACATGAAATTAGTTATCTTTAAAAAAAAATTTTTTTTAATCTCAGCATATTACGGGGGTACACATGTTACATATATTGCCTTTGCCCCACCCGAGTCAAAGCTTCAAGTGTGTCCATCCCCCAGACGGTGCTCACCTCACCCATTACATGTGTATACACCCATCCTCTCCTCCCCCCTCTCATCTGCCTGACACCTGATGAATTTTGAAAGTAGTTATCTTATCTTTTAGAAAGGAGCCATGATTTTGGATGTTTTCTACCTTTGTGTAGCATTGAGCTCCCTCTTCTGTTCTTGTGAAATATTCCATTTTATTCCCACAATTTCCTCTGCTGCTTTTCCCCCTGTCCTGCCCCATTTAGATTGTATGCCCAGCAGTTTCTTCTCAGTGTGAAACAAACAATCATGCCTCTGGATTTTTACTCATACGTATCCCTCTACTTAGAAGACCACCTCTTACACTCCTCCTTTGCATTAAATATTACATAATCTAATCTCAGTACATGATTTACTTATGTCCTGTATAGACTGATCATCACTTTTGTTTGGCCTTTATTCTTGCCCATATAGATCTTTAATAGCAGCTGTAATATCTAATTTGTACAGGAAATATGAAACTTATTTAAGTAGCCACATTTCTTTAAATCTTTTTTCCCTCTTTTTCCTTGGGAGCTGGTAGAATAGCTTGGCTGTGCAGGTTTTGAGAGGTAGAAGAAAGAACATGAAAGCTTGGAAGGCCATAAACGGACTCTACGTCTGGTTTACAATGATTACAGCCAGTTTACCTACGTGCTAAAGAGTGAATTCATTTCCTTTTTTCTTTCTCTTCTCTTTTTTGAAAGGCTTTATTATATAATATAGCAAACATCATGATTTCATTATTGGCTATGGACTCAATTGTGCTCCCCTCTTCAAATTCATATATTAAAACTTTAACCCCCAAAGTGATGGCATTTGGAAATGAGGCGTTTGGGCGATAGTTAGGTTTAGATGAGGTCATGAGAGTGGAGCCCTCAGAGGCTCTTACTGAGCTACATGTGAATGAACAGAAACTACAGAGAGGAAAAGGACATTGGAAAGGAAAAGGGAAAACAATTCCTGAGCACACCCAGGATTCAAAATTGTTTGTGTTCTCACTAGCCAGAGTGGAAAGATCTTATACATGGGGCATCAGGTAGAGTCCTCAGCAGGGTATCACTTGAATAATTGGGCTAAATTAGCCCTAAAGACTATGCTAGACCTTCACCCAACAAAACATAAAAGAAAACCTTAAAAGTATCTAGCTGATTTCAGATAACTTAACGTGTGACAAAAAAATCCCAACACTTTAACGGAATAAACCTTATTTTGCAATCAACAATACAAGCTTTACAGTATCTTGTATCTAATGAAAAATTAACAGGCATCTAAAGACAAGTAAAAGTAAAACTTAAACCAGAAGAAAAATTACCCAATAGACCTGGTAATGACAGAGATTATATAATTAGTAGACAAAGATTTTAAAACAGCTATTATAAATATGCTCTATATGTTCAAGAAATTAGAAGAAAATATGACTATGATGAGTATACCATCAGCTCCCTTGGTTTTCAGGCCTCAGACTCGGGCTGAATTACATCACCAGCTTTCCTAGTTCTCCAAATTGCACATGACAGATGGTGGGACCTAGTCGGCCTCCACGATCATGTGAGCCAATTTCCATAATAAATCTCCTATTTTGGATACATATATCTATATCTACATACAATCATGCACTGCATAGCTACGTTTTGGTCAATGACAGATTGCTTATATAATAGTGGTCCCATAAAATTATAATGTCATATTTTTACTGTACCTTTTTTATGTTTAGATATACAAATAATTAGACAGTCTATACTATTATTTTATATAGTTTATACTATATATATCTGTATATTAGGCAGATATACAATTATTTAATGTAATTAAATAATTAACATTTAATTACAATTGCCTACAGTGTTCAGTGGAGTAACATGTTATACAAGTTTGTAGTCTAGGAGAAATAGGCATATAACCTAGGTATACAGTAGGTTATACCATCTAATTTTGTGTGAGTGCACTCCATGGGGTTCATACAATGACAAAATCACCTAGTGATGCATTTCTCAGAAACTATACCAATTATTAAGTGATGCACGATTGTGTATCTGTATCCATCTACCTCCTATTGGTTCTTTTTCTTAATAATTTTGACAAATACCGGCTGCTGTAACAAAAGTACCATAGGCTAGGTGGCTTCAATAATGAACGTTTATTTCTTACAGTTCTGGAGGCTGGAGAGTGCAAGATAAAGCTTCTGGCAGATTCAGAGTCTGGTGAGGGTTTGCCTCCTGGTTTTCAGACGGCTGTCTTCCCACTGAGTCCTCACGTGGTAGAATAGGACAAGATTGCTCTCTGGGGTCTCTTTTTTAAGGGCACTAATTCTATTCATGTGGGTTCCACCTTCATGACCTATCACATCCATGAGGCCCAATCTCCTAATACCATCACATTAGCAGTTAGGATTTCAACATACAAACACAAATATTCGTAACACAATCCATACATTCATAACACGCTACATGGACATACTAGCTCTTTTGGATTTCTACTTTTTATTAATTTTCAGAGTGTTAAGAATAAAGACTTCTGTGCCAGAGGATCCAGGCTAAATATTACCTCTGGAAATATGTAATGATGTGACCTTGAGAAAGAAAGATAGCCTCTCATAATACTAGTTCTTACATTCTTGTGTTGAGCAGAGGAGTATGTGATAAAATACGTTTAATTTGATATGAAGATTAACTCATGCAATACCTTAAACTTGGCATGAAATTTTCTTGCTGCTCAAGAAAATTATTATGGAGTTTGATCAATTGAACCCTTGAGTCACTTAGCAATCCAAACTACCCATATTTTGTAATGCCACCATTCAAAAGATTGTTTTCATGTCTCATGGATTTTAACTACTTCTGCTTAGAAGTGATATACATGATTTCACATCAGATATCTATGGCTGGCACTTGTCCCATAATCTCACTTAACTAAAAGGGATCCAAAAATTATAGAGAGTATTATAGTTTTTTGGGCTACTATAATAAAATACCTAGACTAGGTAATTTATAAGCAATAGAATTTTATTGATCATAGTTCTGGAGACTGGGAAATCAAAGTTCAAGGTGAGCAGATTCAGTGTCTGGTGAGAGCTAGTTCTTCATATATAGTGCCTTCTAGCTGCATCCTCACATGGCAGGAGGGTTAAACAGACACCCTCAAGCCTCCTTTATAAGGGCAAAAATTCCATTCATGAGAGCAGAATCCTCATGACTTAATAACTTCCTGAAGAACGCACCTCTTAATACTTAACCTTGGAGGTTAGGTTTCAACTTATGAAATCTGGGGGGACACAAACATTAAGACCACAGCAGAGGAGCACATGAATATTCAGTGAACAATAAATGTCTCGGTGATTTCTACTTGGGTTTTTATGACCTTAGCAAGTTACATATTGTTAATCTCAATTGCTTATCTTTTAATGTGCTCTCAGAGAGGACTGCACTGGCTTCATTAAACATGATTGAATGAGCTTGTACAACTTCCTGAACTTTCCTGAGACTCAAGTTTTCCCTAAATATGACAATAATACTATTGAGAGGACTAAATAAGTTTTAATCATTTTGGTACACCTCCTGGAGTACAGAGTAAATGCTCAAAAGCTGTGAGCTATCTCCATGATTATTGTATAATTTAACATAATTAGTATTATTGACTGATAATTGTAATTATAGCAAAAGAATAAAAATAATGTATAATACATGTGACCATGCCTGTCTTACTTCCTAAAATCTCACAATACTTTTTAAATATTCTTCTTGTTCTTCCCTACTCTAAGATTTGTTATTTGAGACTTATACTGGGTTTCCTGTACTTTCAAATGGTCTTTTAAAAAGTAATGTGCACCTAATAATTGTGCAATATATGTTTGTTTATTAACTGTCTTGTGACACAATATGGCTATTGAATTTGTTAGAATTTGTGAACAATAAGTGCTGTTAGTCTTGCAGAGCTATCCACTGTATTTCTGCTAAGTAATTATTTCTAAACTGCCAATGAAATGACAAGCTAAGCCATGGAATTTGTACTCAGGAAGTTAGGTAACACTTTATGACAAGGTTTAAGACTACGAAAATTCGGCATCTGGATGTTTCAAAAGTGTATTTGCTGTATTGCCAAGTTAGAGAGAACAGCAGGGAAATATCATGGGGAAAAAAGTAATTTTGTTTCTGATTGTTGGGGTCCTTGGGGCATATTACATTTACACTCCTTTCCCAGATAATATCGAGGAGCCTTGGAGACTGATGTGGATAACCACAAATTTGAAAATGGCCGTACATGTGGTAAGTTCAGAATTTTATCTCTTCTGTGAATATTTAAGTTTAAATCAGGAGAAAATAATTACCTGCTGTATTATTTTTTAAAATTTCTACTCTTTGCTTGCTGATTTTAAAAACTTTTAAAAGATCTTCATTCCTTAACGCAGACCCCTAACAGAATGAACATGGTGGAAGTATTCAAGTAGTCTTAATTTGAAATATTCAAAAACAAAATGTGCTGGCTAAGAAAAACAAAAAAATCTTATTGTGAGTTTCATGGTATGAATACTGCCAGAACAAAGCTGTCTGAAGTACAAAGTTCAGAAAAGGTATGATTGAGCAGCACTGTGATTAGTTATATAAAATTCTATGCAATAATCTTGGATTCAGACATTAAAAAATATTCTTACTGAAATATTTTGTAGAAAGGTCAACTGGCAAAAAGCCCTGGGAAACAGGGGCACATGTGATTTCCAGTTTGGGGAGGGTAAGCAACTGAGGTGACAAGGCAGCTGCCTGGTTGCCCAGCAGTGTCCATGCTGGCCCTCAGAGACCTGCTAGTTTTTTCACGGTGAGGCTACTTATCAGACAATGAAACCATACATTATTTCCTTTAAACCTCTTCATAGCAAATCGCCTCTCTGCAGCAAAAAAATTTGGTCTGCACTTGTGAGATTGCTTAATGTGATATGGAATAAAACATACTTCTAAATAATTTCAATTAGGCATTTGCACTAACTATGAATACTTCAGATAATTCCTTCATGGGATCATTTATTTCCTCCTTTAATTGGAAAAGAAATGATTGTTAAATTGGGAACGAAGTGCAATTATCTTTCTGTGGCCTCTCCTAACATCTGTTTACAGTTATATGTTAATGTATCTTATTTAGATTGGAAAGCGTTTTACTTCCCTTGACAATTCCAATAAGTTCAATATTATTCATGCAAACATGTTATTTCATGTTTAAACTCAGAAAAATATTCAAGAC